AGACATAATTATTGACCTCCATGGTGTAGCTAAACATTGTTTACTTAAATTAGGCTTATAGTTTATCTTCAAGGCAACCTATATCTGAGAATGCTTATCACTTTTATGCATGATGCTTATTACTTTTACTCATAATCCTTTGTATTGGAAAATGCTTTGTTAAATTCCTATTACTGAAATGAAGGATTCACTCACTGCTTTAGCTCCAAAAAAAGAAGCACGATGATGCTCCGTAAGAAGTTAAGAAGATATTTCATGGAAACTTTCCGGCCAAGAAAGTCATGATATGAGAGAGGCTTATCGTAAATTCTGAATGGCCATTTGGCGGGTAGAAAACTCTACCTTATATACAACATAAATGCATGCAACAAAGGGAGACTTCACAGTTCTTAAAGCCTAACAACCTTATTGTTATAGTTGAGATGAAAATCCCTTGATTTTATTCAGGGTGAAAAGTCTTTGGGTAACACTTCTTATCATGTCACCATCCTTTCAATAGCATATTAAAAAGATTACCATATCAAGAATAAAAAATAATTTGGAATAAATTATATAAAATTTTTAAAATAAAAAATGTTTACCTCTAATATTTTTATACAATTTTTAGTCAGATGAATGGTTAATAATTAAATAAATTGGTAAAACAAAACAAGGAAACAGTAGTTGTGTTAAAGCTAAAAAAGATTATGAAAATGGTACATGCTACGAGTATCTTGTCACTAAGGTCTGAAGTATCTGATATATATTGGTCATTTCAAATTGTATTTTATGCTAATCCCAAAATAATTAATACTATTGATATTGACCAATAACAAGAAACAGGTCGATAGTGGCTACAAAATGACTTATACAGGAGGAGATTTGATATCTGAAGTATTAAAAGTCGATTTGGCAGTGATATACAGAAACAAAATGGTAGTTGATTTGATTTATTCCGATATACTGGAAATTTTAATTTGAAACTGGAATGGCTAAAACTCCCTACATGGATGCCAACGAAGGTGAACTGAAACTGCATTCTTATTAAAAATCAAATGCAACTCCTCACCTGAAGCTTTCTCATCATAAATTAAAATACAACAATTAGAAACAAAATAAAAATGAATCACTAGCTTGATTAATAAGATTAAACTCAAAGTCATGCAAAACCTCTCAGCCTTCTCCTTGTTCATCAGATTGTGGGCACCAGAAGGAGAAATCCTTGTCCTCAGGTTTAATTATACGTATCCAAGGTGCCAACAATCAACCACAGAAGGTTGCAACTCGTTTTAGGTTTAATGAACAGACAGAGGGCATCACATGGTTTTATGATTCAATTTTATTGAGAAAGGGCAAGAGCTTCAATTGTGGAGATGGGGGAGAAAGGGAGGTAGTCAAGAATGAAGAAAGGGAAGAAGGTTCAAATTGCATAAGGAACAAATTCCTTGGGCATAATGTGAAATTGATAAAGAAGAGCTCCGGACCTTATCTTTTATTTAAGGTCAATCAAGCCTTGGGGCTTCAGTCACTTGAATTAGGTGTGAAAAGGCATATTTAAGGTCAATCAAGCCTTGGTCACTTAACCTCGTTATCTGCTAAAATACCTTAGTTTTTCCTACAAAAACTATTACTCAACCAGGTACCTTTCTATAGAAGATTATTCCTAATATACTAATAATACAAATGAACACATGGGACGCAATTATAAGAAACGTTTAAAACAAGACACAAAATGTGCACATGGCTACTTCAATAAGTTTACCTGCACAAGACTTCTCGAGCCTCCGCCAAACAAACGGTTGTACTTCTCTATGTTCTCCAGTACCCGACTAGCTTCTGGCTCATGGCGTTGATGCTGTGCAGCTTCTGCAGGTACCAATAAAGTAATAAACCGGCGACAAATGGGGCACTTGCAAGGCTGAAGTGCAGACCCATGATGCCACACTCTCAGTATACAATGCCCTGAGAAATACCCACCAATCAACTTAAGACAAGGCCACAAATAATTTAGGGTAAATTACACTAAACCCCTAGGAACTTTCATCATCATTTTGCAGTAAACCGCCAGTAACTTCTAAAATCACACTAAACACTAATATCTACTGGAATGGCATAAAACATCCTATAAGTTTTCGCATCCCACGACCACCTCAGTCCATATTCAAGATCTAATGGATTTTTTCGCATCCCATGACCACATCAGTCCATATTCAAGATCTAAATGTGCCGCCAACACAATATGTAGACTGATGCCATCACAGGGGGTTATCTGCAAAACGCAAAAAACTTTTTTTGGGGGGTCCGCAATTTCAGTAGTTATGGGGGTTTAATGCAATTCTAGAAGTTATTGGGGGTTTCCTGTAAAACTCTGAAAGTCTTTGGGGATTTAGTGTAATTTACCCAATAATATAAGTATATAACATCAAATTTTAACAAAATTGACGATTTTTTGAGGCAACAACCGACATTCTTCTGTTACTATCCTCAAATTTATTGACTAATTTGCCAAATTCTGTATTCTCGAGTTTTTCCCATAGAAGATCTAGATAGGATCCGAACCTTATCAAGAATTCCCCCAATTTTGCATCGCGACCCCAAAAAAACCTAAATTATTACTGAAATAGAGAGGAAATAAAGAATTAGGGTTTCGAAAAGGAAATCGAAAGAAATTACCACAGAACCAATGGGAGCAGTTGGCTTGGCAAGGGAGGCTGAAGACGTCGTGGCAAACGGAGCACACGTCGTTCTCCGGCGGCGACTCCATTAATTCTCTCTCTCTCTCCCCCCTCTCTCTTTATTCTCTTTCGCTTTCTCTCTCCTCCCTCTCTCTCTCTCTCTCTCTCTAGCTTTGCCTTCGTTATCGAACCGCGACCATTGATGAGCGAGGAAACCTCGAAGTACGATGACGAGGTGGCACTCCGCGGCGTGCCTCCCTTTGAATGACTCGTTTCTATTTGTTTGAGGTTTTTTTCACATTACCCCTTATATATATACAGTGATGCAACTTTGCCCCCGAATTTTCTACATTCATTTTTCGACCGCTCGATTTTCTATAAAACTAATAAATATAGTCCGGATTAACTTATGTTAGTAGTGAATTAGTGATAGCGAAAATTTAGAGGTAAAAAAAATCAGGGTGAAAGATTTGGGGCAAATAAGAGAATACCTTGATCGTGGGAAGTAAATTTTGTAATATGATAGATTGTTGAGGGTATATATGCAAAACACGTTCGTTTTTTCAGATGGTTTGCAGATCCACCGCCCATTGTCACGTGAAAGAGACGCGTTTAAATTCTTTAGGTACCGTACTGGCAAAGGCAAAGATCAACACACTAATTAAATATTTATCTTAAATAGTTGTACTTAATTCTATACTAGTTTGCGGTCCGTGCAAAGCAAGTTAATTTTTTTTTTCTACAGTAATCCCGCTTTTTTTAATCTGCATGATTTAAATTTTTGAAAGTGCTACAGTATCCCGCTCTGCTACAGTATTTTTAAATGTTACAGTATCATTTTTGATTAATTATTAGCTACACTAATCATGCTACTGTAGCATGAACAGTGAATCTCTGATCCTCCTATTTGTATAAAGGAATAGATTTTGACTCATTCACATGTGTAACGCACGGCTTTTTGTGAACGCTACAGTATTCTTTAAAATGCTATAGTATTCTGTTTTGTGCTACATGGATAATACTATACTAATTCACTATAGTATTTATTGTAGCATGAATAGCAAATTTTTGGATCTTACTATAAGTATAGAGAGGTAGATATTATTTAATAAATTATATATAAATATTTTACAAAATTATTTAATTACACTATGATTAAAAAATTTAAGTTATACTATATTTATACTATTATTACCATACATTTAATAGTTATTTAAATTAGCTTATTATTATATTATTAAACAATTTATTTAGGAGTATAATTATTAAATAATAATGTAATCATTGTTTGTAATCATTTTTGGCTCTATAGTTTTGATGATGATTTGTCAAACAATTTATAGCTAATATCTTTTCTAGTTTTCGTTATTTGGTTTTTCTCTTTTCAGGAAATTCAACACACGACAATCAAGAGTTAAAGATTCAAGTTCATGTGTGTGCATTCACCTAGGTATAAGAGTAGTTTGCTTACATATATTGTATGTTTATATTTAAGCTCAATATGTAAACACAATACAGATTTGACGTTTTCTATCATATAAATGATTTTTCATCAGACTTTGTTACAATAGTTTTTATTTCATGTTTACAGCTCATTCATACTTCATTATATATATAATGTATGCGCATGATATGTATATACAAGTTTACAAGTTATATTTCAATTTTTATGTTCACGAAAAACAGGTTTTATGAACACTTTTCCAAAATAGTGAGTTTTCACAAATGAAAATTGTTTTTCCAAAAATTTCTTTTCAAACATGTTTACTTTATCATTTAGAAACTTTCCCCAAAGTTTTACTAATTTTGGAAATGATTTGATATTTTTAACGTATTTTCCAAATCAGCGCATGATATATATATACAAGTTTACAAGTTATATTTTAATTTTCATGTTCGCGAAAAATAGGTTTTATGAACACTTTTCAAAAACAGTGGGTTTTCACAAACAAAAATTGCTTTTCTAAAAATTCCTTCGCAAACATGTTTATTTTATCAATTAGAAACTTTCCCCAAAGTTTTACTATTTTTGGAATTGATTTGATATTTTTAACGTATTTTTGAAATCAGCCCAAAACCTGTATATTACCATGTATCAGTTTGCGGTCGACCGCCATGGTCGACCGCCAGCAGTTAATTTTCTTGTATGGCTTTTATTTATTCGCGGTCGACCGTGACGATCGACCGTGGCTCCATCCAGAGACTTTCGCGGTCGACCGCCAGCTTTTAAAGTTCTTTTTCAGTATTTTTGGGCTTCGCGATCGACCGCGGGATTTTCACGGTTGACCGCCAAACTCATCATTGCTTTCTCAACGGTTATATTCTGATTTGATTCTCTGGGGCTATTTTGGTCTTTTCAAGTTGGCTTTGGCTGATATTTTGAGTGGGTATAAATATCCCATTGCTCTTCTCTTTCGATATACCAAGTTTTGTTTTTACAGTGAAGTTTTAACAAAAGTTTAAGTGTGTTTAAAGAGCTATTTAAGCTGATTCTGATTATCTGTTTCAAAAGAAGTTTTCTACAAGAAGAAGAGGCCTTCAATTCAACTGAGGATCCTATCCTCATCATTCTCTACTGTTCTTCTTGTTTATTGAGAAGTTTTCCTAACTCATCTTTTCATATAGCTTATAATTTCATTTTCATATCTTAACTATATTTATTGAGTTACGTATTTTCATTCAATGTTATCACACACACTGTATTGAGCTTAATATTCCATACTATATATTATGGGTAGTGGTGTGTGATTTAGTGAGTGTGAGCTTCATTGTGTTCTCATTTGTTATCGAGAACAAATCATTGTATTTAATCATTGTTGTGAGTATCATTTGTAATACACTTGTACACCGAGAGAAGTGTGAGGCGTGAGACGGGGTCGAATCCAATAGGAGTGGCGTCGGTTAACGAACCTAGGGAGAGGTTGCATCCGAGCACTTGAGGAGGAGGACACGGGCTAGGTTCCTATACTTAGTGTGTAAAGTATGATTGCATAGTGTTTGTTGTGTGAAAGTTTTCGGTAAACTTGTAAACCGAGTGTGTAGAAGTTTCAGCTTCTAAACCGGATTGTGATAGTGGAGATCTCCTCGAGGTGAGGAGTGAACGTTGATCGGTGAGCGTTGAAAACCGACATTGTGAGTGATTGTGAACGTTAATCGATGAACGTTGAAAATCGACGCTAAACATATCGTTTGTTTGTGTTTTGCTTAACGTACATTTTAGTTGTGCTTATTCATATCATTCTTGCTCATATCCATCTCATATAGTTCTTGCAAGAACATTTTTAATCAATATAATTTTAATTGCCATTTAATCGGGATTAGATTAGCATAAAACCCTAATCACCCCCTTATAGGGTCTAACAATTAGTATCAGAGCTTGGTGCTCTTTGATTTAAGGACTAATCGCCTTGAGTTAAAGATCCAAGTTATCGTTTTTGTGCTAATCTAGTGTTGATTGTATTTTGCTTCTTGCATATAATCATTATGGATATGTATGATGCATCCAGTTTAGGTTATGCTATTAATGTTGCTCCTCATTTGGATATTTTCCCCTATGCTCAATGGCGTGTTAGATTCAAACTTTTTGTTCAATCTAAACAATTCGATTTATGGGAAATTATTGAGGATGCTTATATTATTCCCACTTCGGAAAAATCCAAGTGGAATAAAGATGATAAAAGAATGTTTAATATGAACAAGCTTTTATTAGAATATGTGCTCAGTGCTAACAAATTTGCTCATTTTGATAGTGCTTACACCTTATGGAAATTTATTGAAGCACGTGAAGGGGACTTGGAGGCTATTCAACAAGCGTTGAAAAATCCCGCTTTGAGTTCTAAAGAAGCCACATCTCCATGTACAATACCACTAGGTGATAACCCTAGTGAGGTATGCGATCTTGACAACGATGATATTATTACCTTTGATGAGCTTGCTCTTGAGTTTCAACGATGATATTATTACCTTTGATGAGCTTGCTCTTGAGTTTAAAAAATTACATAATTGCTATATTGATGTAAAAAGTAAGTATATTAATATGAAATCCATTCATGAAACTCTAGCCACTAAGTTTAATTTCATTGCAAATGAAAATATAATTCTTAAAGAATGCAATGAAACTTTGAGATTAAAAAATGCTAGTTTGATTCACGAAAAATGTGATGCCATGTTAGAAGTAGATAAGTTAAAATCTATGATAAATAATCATGTTTATCCTACTTCTAGTAGCAATGCTTGTATACACAATGATGAGTTGAATCAAATGAGAAAACGCATATCTACCTTAGATTCAACACTAAACACCTGTATTGCTAATAATAAAAAGCTTATGGATTTATGTGCAAAGTTCAATGTTAATTCTTCTAAGAAACCTATTCACTATGCACACATGTATGACAAAATTCATAAATTTTCTATTTGCGGTCTTAAAGGCCATTTAGCCCAATTTTATCATAATGCACAAAAAATTAACAAGCCTATTCATGATTGCGCATCCCATCAAGCCTCTTCATCACATACACATGTACACACACATAGTGTAAATCATAAACATGCTCATGTGTACAAATGTGATTATTATGGTCGTTTTGGTCATTTGGCCATGTTTTGCTTTGATTTGAAAAGAAATTCCAGTTTGTAAAATAATTACAAAGAAAAATCTATTTTTGCAAATAAACCACGTGCACATTATTCCGGTCAACGCAAACCATTCAAACCCCTACATTGCACAAATTACAATCGCATGGGTCATGTTTACGATTTTTGTTTTGACCGTATCGGTGCACAAAATACGCCCAAGCGGGTTCATCGCCCTAGGGCCTTGGATCTACATGATAGGGGTCATGTCCCAAATTTTAGTGGTACCAAAATAATTTGGGTACCAAAATGAGTTTTATTTCATAACCGTCGTTGTGATTTTTGTTTTATAGTTGTTTTTGAGTTTTAATGGTGATTTTGTTTTTATTAAGCTAAAATAAAATATTTTCGTTATTTAATAGCTAAAAATTTTTTATATATATTTATATATCTTATAAAACAATTCTCTTAAGGTCCAAATTGAATATTTTCTAAAAATCCAGATTTTACAATACTTTTGATATTATTTCTCTCGCGGTCGACCGTCACGGTTGACCGTAAATGTTTCTGGAAATTGTTACGGTCGACCGCCACGATCGACCGCAAGAGAAGTTTTTTGTTTTGGTTTTATTTTCTTATCGGGTTTCGGTTTCTGGTTGCTAACTTTTCTGAACCCGATTCTTCCATCACCCTTGA